TAGCTATCCACAGATCTTTCGCCCTACGTTTCAAATTCGAAACGCCTAGCGCCCGGACTCCGGACGGGACGTCACGAACCAGACACCTGCGCTGCTCCCGTGTCCGAATCGCGCCCCACGCCCCGAGTCCCGCCCCAGCACCTACGCCTGCATCTGTCGTAGGGACCCGCGCCCACTCCACGCCCTGCACGGGGAAACCCATGTGGGTTGAGCCATGGCTACGCCCGATGGCAATGCGACGACCACATGTCACGCCATGCAATACCCGATCTACTTTTACAACATCCAGATGAAACCTTTGCAAAGATACATCTAAAACAGATGAAACATTTGGAACATACAGTTGAAACACCATTGCAACATGTGCAACATCCCGATCTACTTTTGAAACATCCAGATGCAACACTTGCAACATACAAAAGAAGACAAATGAAAAACTTGAGACATGCGTCTGAAACACTTGCAACATACGTGTACAAAAAATAGATGAAACATTGGGGATAGATGCTTGCAAACATGTGTACAACCATTGCAACATATGCAACATTCCGATCTACTTTTGCAACATCCGCATGAAATAATTGAAATATATATCTAAAACAACTGAAACACTTGAAACATGGGCTTGCAACAAGTCTGATAGAGCGTCCAGAAACACTTGAAACATAGCATCACCACGTGGCCATGACATACCTAGTGGGCAACTTTGGTGGCGCGGGCTCGCTGGAAGGTGCACACCCGCACGCCCCCGCCATGCCCGCCATTGGCCGAGGGAGAGGAGACGTTGCCGGATCTAGGGAGGGCGCCGACGACCGAGGTAGTGGAGGGTCAGCGGCTTGCTTGAGGCCGCCGACCGCGCGCCAACGGCTTGCTCGAGCCCGCCGGCCGCGAGCCAGATCCGGTGGGACTCGGGGGAAGGTCGCGGCCACCATAGAGTGGAGGAAGGGGACCCATGGAGGCCACCAGACTTGAGGGAAGACGCACATGGAGGAGGGGTGCCGTTGAATCCATGGAGGGGAGGGGAGGCTACGACGCACCGGAGGGGACGCCCTGGCGCTTGCAGGGGTGATTTTTTTTTGTGAAGAATGGAGACAGCATGGTCCGCTCCAGATCGGGCGAGAGGCTACAACTATACGGGACGCGGTGCGGGCATGGTCCGTTACAGAGTGACATGACTCGGACAGGGTCCGTCCGGACAGATGGACGACCGAAAAGGAGCATTACCATTTCAAATTTAGACCAAATTACGGCCCTCGCCGCGTCGAGGTAAAATGCACCGTTGCGTTTAGTTCGTTTACAAGTTGTAATGCTCCAGTAGATTTCTTCCTTGATGCATGCTTGCTTGCTTGCCGTAGTGCTGCTGATCGATGAGCTTCCAATAAACACGATTAGGTTTCTCATGCGCGAAGGCGTGACGTACACTTTCGATCAGGCATTCAGTGATGTACTCGAACTCGTTTCCTCCTCTTGTTCGTCCGTGCATCACTATCATGTAAACATGCATGTTTGTTACCAACACGAAATTGGCTAGTTATGGACAGCTATTCAGGTCGCTGCGTGTTGGTACGGAACCTTTTCGAACCCCCTATGAATTTGCACCCAACTTCTTTTCTAATAAACTTTCATCGAACTTGTCGACTTGCTTAAAATATGCATTAATTGCTAATATCTGCTAGCTAGCTAGCTCTTCTTGGTGAATCGGGAGACTTGAGACAGCCTGCAGGCACTTGCATTGCATTGGGCAGCCGCCCTGTTGGCTGGTGCCTGGTGCCGTGTTACATAGCAACTCCGGCAGTAGCATGAAAACAAGGTCTCTACTTTTTATTTGAGTGGTCCTTCTATTTATGTGTGTCTAAAATTTTGCTTCTACTCCAACAACACCACCCAAATGAAGGCCCCTAAATCCAAATCAGCAGTCAATGACGTAGGGGACCCACTTGTCATTGGCTTAAATATTTCTTCCCCACATCCTCCTCACACACAGGCCAGGACGAAGCCGGCGGGGTCGGTGCCGAGCAGCGGCATGCGGCCCTCGCGGGCGTAGCAGCCGAGCGCGGCGGCGGCCTTGCCGCGGGGCTCCGACCTCCGGTGCGGGCAGTGGAGCGGCCAGTGTTGCGGGGAAGAGCGCCGGCGCAGCGAAGGAGAGGCCCACGCGCCCGCGTGGCGTAGCAGAGCACCGGTACGCTCGCACGGCCGGGCAAAGCGCTGGCGCAGTGGAGGAGAGGCCCACGCGGCGGAGCATAGCACCGGCACGCTCGCGCGGTGGGGCAGAGAAACGACGCAACCAAAGGATAGGGGCCGGCTGTTGGGCCAACCAGAATTGGGTTCGAGGGGGAGATTTGGGTGCTCCCTCCAAACTGAGAGCTCTAGTAGGGCCTGCTGAAGCTACGTTTTTTTCCCTGCTGGAGTTGCTCACGTCGTACACATGATTAAAACGCTGGAGATTATTTTACCACCACGAACCATTTTTTGTACTTTGCATTGGAAGGAGGCGAAGCCAAACAGAGGTTACGTTTTGTGAAGTACTGGAAATGGATTCACATACAAATAAAGCAAAATAATTGCTTGATGAAACACCGTTTTGTTTTGTCAACATTGACAGCTTTATAATAATTTAAGATTGACGAACTTATAATAAACACCGCGGTTGTCTATAGCTTAAAGAATAGCATCATTAAATTCTAGTCCAGAAAATAAAAACATCAACGTCAAGTTAAGGTACGCACGTGGTAAGGCGTGGTGATAAATATACACTTTATATATTTTGAAACGAAAAGTATATCGGACAGACCGTTATGTTATGTTTATACGCCGGCTTTGCACGTCTCAGCAGGGCATTTGTTTGGCCGTCGTCATCAGCTGAAGTCATCAATCTCTAATCAAACGCACTCATTAGTCCCAAGAAATGACGAGTCATGAAAGAGTGTGTTTGCCTTTTTTTTTTTTTTATATAGATAGAGAACTGGCCGTGTGTGTGGTAGCTAGCTGACGAGTCACTGCTACAGTTCCGTTCGTTTATCTTATGAAGCTTACCGTTTCAGCGAAGAACCGTGTTTTTCTCTCTTAAGCACTATTTTTAACCATGTCTTTTCAGCAAAGCGAACATGACCTACATCTTCTCTGCCTCGTGGCCCACGTGGCCTCAGGTGATGCACTGATGCTTCACTCACAGAGCTCTCGTATGTATTGCGCTCTGTCATCCAGCTAGGTCACTGAATTTCTGGAGTATCCATCCAAAACCAAACCATACCAAGGAGGCAAGGAATCCCGGACCGCGTCAAGAGCATCGATCACTTCATCACCGTATATCAGCCTGTTCGGCTGGTGCTGATATGATCGTATGCAATAATGAATTATTACCGCTGACTGGTTTAGTATGAGAGAAAAATAATGTTATGACTTATAATCTATGATCAAGCGAACGGCTGTATATCTTTTCTATCAGCTAGCTATATATTCATCTGCCCACATATACATACATACATATATAATAATATGCATGTGATGCTCATACATTTTTGCCCCGTCGTCTATCTACCATCATGAGAGGTGAGGTGGCAGATTGATAAGGACTAATGGTTATAGATAGAATAGAATGGCACAATAATGCAGAGCTGGAGTTGGGAGTCGGGAAGAAGGCACCCGTGAAGGTTGGTTGTTGCAGTGTCCAGTAATATTGCTAGCTTCTCTTCCATTACTAAAATCGGAAAAACGTCAACAGAATTGCTTGCTTGCCGTAGCGATTAATGCGCTGCTATGAACGAATGGCAACGAGCGTTCTGCTTTCTTCCTGCGAGCTCCATGTCACTCTCCGTGTCATGTTCAGCTGAAACTTTAGGTGTAGTGTATAGCACGTGTGTGGGTGACTGGGACACTACTGTTTTTTTTTTATGGGTCGTACGAGCCTGAAAGTGAAAGGCCTCCCGCGCCACGCTATGCTATGCTACCATCCATGACTGACCAGATGATCAGATGCCCAAGTGGCCAACTGCTCCGCGCCCAACCGCCGGGGAATCTCCTCATTCTCACGCGCGACGTGACGCGACGCCACGGCACGGCACGGAGGAGATATAGGAACCTGTTGGGAAGCCGGAACCTCCGGTGCCGCGTTTGGTGGTGCTGGTACGCGTGAGTGAACCTCCGGCAAGGCAGAAGGCACCGCGCGCGCGGCCACCAGTACCAAGCCCAGCAGACCTGCAGATGGTAGGCTGGCTGCGGGTGTTCGTTTCGTTCCATCCGCGGTTGTCCGCTGTCTTCACTCCCAGCAACCTTTCTTATCCGGTGCCGGACGAGTAGCTGCTGCTGCTCTGTTTCCTCATGTTTCTTCTTGTTACTCCCTTGCAACTTGTGCTTTTTCAATTCTACGACTAGTAAGTTAGTTTCGTTTCACATGTAACGTGGGCACGTTCGTTTAAACTTATCAGCCGGCTTATCTTATCAGCTAAAATTTATAGCATTTTTCTTTCTCACTCCGCGGTTGATTCAATTGGCTTATCACCCATCAACCTTTCTTCCGGCGCCGGAGTCATGTTTGAACTTTATGCCACCAATTGACCCAAAATCTTATTAGCTGACTGATTTAATGTCAGAGAAAAATATTATTCGTTGGCTAAAAACAAACCAAAACCATGACTGAAAACCATGACTAAAAATACCGTTGACTGATTTGGTGTGAGAAAAAAAATACTGTTTAAGCCAGTCAAGCCCAGAAGAAGAGGAGGAGACGGAGGTCAATCTTCACGATTTCCGTCTACGGAGCAGCACACAGCAGTCGTCCTGACTTGTGTTGCCAACATCGCAAGGAATCTTCTTCTTCCTTGCTTGCTTTGATGCATACAAGCATGGAGTAGTCTTTTACAGGTGATGATTTCGCCGAGGCGGAGGCGCGGAGCAGAGTGCCACAGCAGGCACCAAACAAACGCATCAAAAGAACAAACAAAAGAATCACATCGCAGAACGCGGCGGCGGGCACGCACGGCTTCACCCCTCAGCAGCTCAGCTCAGCTCACCACCGGGGGCTTCACGGCCGGCTCCAGCAGCTCGGTCCAGAACAGCGCGGCATCGGCGCCGTCGCCCTTCACCACCTCAACCACGGACACGGCGTCCGCGAGCCTAAACACGCTCACTTTGGCCACCACGCCGCCGCCGCCGCCCTCCTCGTCCTCCACGTACACGGGTCCACCGCCGGCCCTCTTCCCGTCCTTCCGCACGCGGTACCCGCCCTTCCGCCCAGCCGCCTCCACGCGGGCCAGCACCGCCGCGGCAGGCTCGGCCACGAACACCCGCTCCTTGCCGCCGCCCACGAACAGCGCCGACAGGTCGGAGCCCGGGGAGAAGCTGAGGATGTCGAACGCGGTCGGCTCCCTGTCCTCCTCGTCCGCCTTGAACTCCGCCGGCCCAAACCATGCCTCCTCCTGCTCACCACCTCCGTGCATCAGGCGGCCCAGCTCCTCGTCGCTGGCGCCGTGGCGGAACCACGGGTGCGCCACGATGCCGTCCGCGTCGATGCGCGCCGACGGGTCCGGGTCCAGCACGCGCCGCAGCAGGTCGCGCAGCGCCGGCGAGAACCACGCGGGGCACCGGAATCTGCCCGCGTAGATCTTGCGGTACATGTTCACCAGGCTCGCGTCGTTGAAGGGGAGGTAACCCGCCGCCAGCACGAACAGCACCACGCCGCAGGACCAGATGTCCACCTTCGCCGGCTCGTACCCTTTCCGCGACAGGATCTCGGGGGCCACGTACGCCGGGGTGCCGCACATCGTGTGCCGGAGGAGACTACCGTCCTCCGCGGCGCCGTCGGTGGCGGTGGCCACAGCGCCGAGCCCGAAGTCGGCCACCATCAGCGCGCCGGCCTCGTCGAGCAGGAGGTTCTCGGGCTTGATGTCGCGGTGGTACACGCCGCGCGCGTGGCAGTACCGCACGGCGGACACCAGCTGCCGGAAGTAGTGCCGCGCCAGGTCCTCCGTCATGCGGCCCGACGCGTCCACGAGCGAGAACAGCTCGCCGCCGCCGGCGAGGTCCAGCACGAAGTGAACCTTCTTGCGCGTCGCCAGGATCTCGTGGAGCCGCACCACGTGGCGGTGCCGCAGGAGACGGAGGATGCCTGCCTCCCGCTCGATGGCCACGGGCCGGTCACCGGTGGCGCTGGCGGCGGCGCGCGGGTTGGGGAACGACTTGATGGCCACAGACCGGCCCGTGAGCAAGTCCCGCGCCAGGTACACCTTGGCGGACGCGCCGCGACCCAGGAGGCCGCCGAGCTCGTACCTCCCGAGGAGCACGGTCCCGGCGGCGGGGGGAGAGTCAGCGGCCGCGGATGCGACGGCGCCGGTGGCGGGCGGCATCGTGGCGGCGGCGTCTGCTCGGTCGGCGCCGTCGTAATGGCCGGGCGGGACGGGGGAATTTTTCCTGTACCGTACCGTCTCAATGGCCGGTGATCGCGGTCGTGCTGGGTGGCTTCTTGCTGCAGCTGGCTGGAGCAGTTTGAGTTGGGGGGTTTGCTCTGTGCCGTCGCCGCCGTGCCCGTATTTATGTATCACGCGGTGGCCGGCTTCGAGTGCGGGACGGAGACGCGCTGCTGCATGGGAGTACTCGGGAGCTTGACGAGTGGGCCCGGCAGTTTCGACTCAATGACAGCTGGGGTCGGTGGGGTGGGTGCACGAGCAGCGAAAGTTCGTGCTTTCAAATGACGGTGATCGTAATTATTCCTCCTTTTTTTTGGTATATCCGTACGTATATATATGAGTATATACTCTATATATATTCATGCATTTTCCCACCGGAATTTCCAAATGCCGTATGGCATGATTATTACTGGTACGTGTGAGATGTAAGTCGAACTGGCACTTGTTGCGTTCAAACTTTAAAAGTGCAAAGCAATCACCAAATTAAATTTGGTGAGTTGTGTAAATCGCAAGGCGAAGTAGTTGTAAGACGGCCCCGTTTGGCTGAGCTCCCGCGTGCTCCGACTCCTACAATATAGCCGGAGCCACGGGAGAAAAAAAAACGAGTTTCTCCAGCTCCGGTGGTGTCAATGAGAGAGGAAAAGAGGAGAGAGAAAAACGGCTTCGATGAATAGTGCAGCTACAGTGATTCGGCAACCGGAGCCGAAGCTACTCGGAGCCTGGCCAAACGGGGCCTAAGTGTTAACTCCTTTTATGTGATGCATGGAGTAGTTGTAAGTCCAACGAAAATCAAGGTAAATTTTTATTTTCCCTGTACCAAAATAAATCACCTTGGCTCTGTTCGTTTGACTGAATTTGGCTGAAAAAATAAGCCAAAACACTGTTTCGGCTAAATTGTTGGGAGAGAAAACACTGTTCCGGCTGAAAAAAGAAGCCGAACAAGCCATGACCATGTTCGCTTGGTTTATAAGCCCTACTTTTTTAGTCCACGAACAGTATTTTCTCTCACAATAAATCAGCCAACAGTACTTTTAGCCATGACTTATCAGCCAAGCGAACAGGGCAATAATAGAAGTTGATGTATTTTATTTGAAATGGAGGGAGCGGATGATGAAAATTTAGTACCTTATTGTCTGGATACATACGCTATGTTCGCTTGGCTTATAAGCCGTACTTTTTCAGTCCACGAACAGTATTTTTCTCTCATAACAAATCAGCCAACAGTATTTTCAGCCATGGCTTATCAGCCAAGCGAACAGGACAATAGCAGAAGTTAATGTATTTTATTCGAAATGGAGGGAGCGGACGATGAAAATTTAGTACCATATTGTCTGGATACATACACTACATAGGCCCCGTTCACTTCGCTGAAAAAACAAGCCGAAACAATGTTCCGGTTGATTTGTTGCGAGAGAAAAATACTGTTCCGGCTGAAAAAACAAGCTGAAAAGTACAGATTATAAGAGAAGCGAAACAGGGCCATAGTATGCCTAACAATTAGTTAGGCTAGACTAAAATTTAAATCGATGTTTTAATTCATATGTTTGAACGGTCTAGAACTAAAATTTTAGATGATTAAAGTTTAGTTTAGTGATGATCAAACAGACCTATAGTACAGTAGTACTATCTCGCTAAGCTCGTTTGTCCCGTGTACTTGTCATCATTAGTATACTCCACTGAGATGAGAGTGGAACAAGCCTCGTAAAACGGCAAGATACAAGGAACGGAGCAAGTAAAACGCGACCCAAGCATGAGCTTCCTTAGAAGTTAGAATTGGGAAGTGTTGAAAATATGTTTGGGTTTCTTCATTTCTAAACATCAACGCTTGACCATTTCTAAAGTACGTATACAGCAACCTTCGTAGACCAATAAGTGAGGCCATTAAACAACGGTAGGCTGGAAAACAACACTCGGAGTCTTCTTTGGAGAGTTGTTAATTAATCTGTTTATAATAACTAGCTGGAACACCGTTTGCTTGCCACGTGCTGTACGGAGACCCATCTTCGGACTTAAAGGGAAATAAACTACTACTACTAATAAGAGCAAGAATGGCCATTAACAAGTGGTGTGCTAGGAAACAGCAGCTGTTCTCCAACTGCATTAATGGCCAGAACAAGTGCCGAAATAAAACATCTAAACAAATTAGCTCCAGATCGATTATAAATAAACTTTCCAGCTCCAATACACGGCATAGTGGCACATCTTTGATCTTTCCTCCCAGATTCCTTTTTTGAGGAAATTTCTCCAAGATACTAGTACTGCAGATATCTAGGAGCAGTATTCAAAAGAACGGTGCGTGCATGGCACCTCCGTGGCCCGCTTACGCTGGTTTTATAATCCATATTTTTCAGTTTTTTTAGTCGTAATAGTATTTTTTCTTACGATAAATCAGCCGGAACAGTGTTTCGGTTTGTTTTTTTTAGCGAACCGAACGGGGCCACGTGTATATCTCTGTCGCTAGATATGCAAGGTGTGGTACGGTACGGTACGGTATACTCGTAGCTATGGATAAAAACGGTACGGATATTTATTCGACCGTCCGTTCGACCGAACAAAAATGAATACTTATCTGGATAGTTACTCGGATATCCGTAATTTTTTTCGGATACGGATACTAAAATGGATATCTTAGGCGGATATCAAATACGGATGTAATATCATCGATATCCGGCGGATATCGGATAATCCGGATAAGTATCGGATATATCCGGATATTTAAAAACGGATATTATCCGGATATTATTCAAACGACCTTGGATGGAGAAATGATCAAAATAAAAATTGTAGATCTCAAAAAGTTATGAAACTTTGTTGTTTACAACTTTTTCGTTTGAAATCATTTAGTGCTTCAAAATTTAAACCGTCCAAACTTTCTCAAATGGAAAAACTAGTTTATAAGCGTCAAAATTTAAAAATCACAAATTTGAACCATCCAAACTATCTCAAATGGAAAGTTGACCAAAACAAGAATTGTAGATCTTGATGAGTTGAACAAACTTGGTATTCAAAACTTTTCAATTTGAAGTCATTTAGAGTTTATAATACTAGAGTCAAAGTGTTGTCTTTTCATTTGACCAAATTTGACTTGGTCAAACTTGCTCAAATGAGAAACTAAATGACCTCAGATGAAAAAACTCTGAATACTAAGTTTGATCATCTCAGCAAGATCTACAATTGTTACATAGCTTATTTTCCCATTTGAGAAATTTTTATCAAACACTAGTCACAAATTCTTGAATCTCATACAAACTTTCTGAAACTATGTCACACACTTGTGAAATTTGAACTATATTTTGTTCAAACTTTCTCAAATGAAAAATGGCCTATATAAGTATTGTAGATCTTGATGAGATGAACAAATTTGGTATTCAAAACTTTTCAATTTGAGACAATCTAGGGTTCCGAAAACTAGTTTCTAAACATCGAAATTTAAAAATCACAAATTTGAACCATCCAAACTATCTCAAATGGAAAGTTGACCAAAACAACAATTGTAGATCTTGATGAGTTGAACAAACTTGGTATTCAAAACTTTTCAATTTGAAGTCATTTAGAGTTCATAATACTAGAGTCAAAGTGTTGTTTTTTCATTTGACCAAATTTGACTTGGTCAAACTTGCTCAAATGAGACATTAAATGACCTCAGATGAAAAAACTCTGAATACCAAGTTTGATCATCTCAACAAGATATACAATTGTTACATAGCTTATTTTCCCATTTGAGAAAGTTTTATCAAACACTAGTCACAAATTCTTGAATCTCATATAGACTTTCTGAAACTATGTCACACACTTGTGAAATTTGAACTACATTTTGTTCAAACTTTCTCAAATGAAAAAATAGCCTATATAAGGATTGTATATCTTAATGAGCTGAACAAACTTGGTATTCAAAACTTTTCAATTTGAGACAATCTAGGGTTCCGAAAACTAGTTTGTAAGCATCGAAATTTAAAAATCACAAATTTGAACCATCCAAACTATCTCAAATGGAAAGTTGACCAAAACAAGAATTGTAGATCTTGATGAGTTGAACAAACTTGGTATTCAAAACTTTTCAATTTGAAGTCATTTAGAGTTCATAATACTAGAGTCAAAGTGTTGTTTTTTCATTTGACCAAATTTGACTTGGTCAAACTTTCTCAAATGAGACACTAAATGACCTCAGATGAAAAAACTCTGAATACTAAGTTTGATCATCTCAGTAAGATCTACAATTGTGACATAGCTCATTTTCCCATTTGAGAAAGTTTTATCAAACACTAGTCACAAATTCTTGAATCTCATACAGACTTTCTAAAACTATGTTACACACATGTGAAATTTGAACTACATTTTGTTCAAACTTTCTCAAATAAAAAAATGGCCTATATAAGGATTGTAGATCTTGAATCCATGACCATGACTCCATGAGACCCATGAAGCCATGAGCTTGGCTATTTCTACTCATGCCGCGAAGATTGGTGCTTGTATGATGTTTGATGTATGATGTATGATGTATCTTTATCTTATTTATTGCTTTACTCTTTAGTCTTTCGGCTTAATCTAGATGGATTATGGACTCATAGAGTGGTGTAATGGTTTGCGCACGTATGATATATATATATATATATATATATATATATATATATATATATATATATATATATATATATATATATATATATATATATATATATATATATATATATATATGCTGCTTTTACTCAATATCCGAATAGATATTTGTATCCGACCTTCTCCGAATCCGATTCATACCGTATTCGATACTCATTATTTGTATCCGTAACCGAGTCAATCCGTATTCTTATATGTATCCGAACGTTATCCGTGTCCGAATCCGAATCCGAACAAAAATATGAAAACAAATATAATATGAGTGATATCCGTTCGTATCCGATCCGTTTTCATCCCTACTCGTAGCTAGCATGCATGGCACAGAAGACAGCGTGTGATATCCGCGTCGCACGGGAAGCCGTGGCGGGGGCACGCCCACGCGAGCCGCACCTCACGTATCGGCGCCGCTGCCGCGTGCGCTCTGCGCACTGTGCAAACAGATTTTCATCCGCAAATTCGATTCCCTTTGGCTTTATTTGGATGCGCCCACCCCAAATTTAAAGTCGTTTGGCCGGGTTCTAGATTACCGTGAATGTTTTAGATCTGGATTCTCAAGAAACGTTTCGACGGTGAATCAGAATCACTTTACGAAAATTCTAGTTTGAAAAAAATTTATATAAATAAAAATATGGTTAGAAAACTTCTAATCTTTTGCGCGCCAATAACAACTTAAATACAACCCGTTTTAATTCGTTGCACTTTAAAAAGATTAACTAAAACATAAAATCAGTCTTACAGAGAGGAAACCAGAAATAGAGTCGATCGAAACCAGCCTCTACCCGTTTCGCATTCTCATGTAGAAGAATAGAAACATTTCAGCTCCGATTCTTGTGTCCATGTGTTTGGTACCATTTATGGGGTTCAGTTGACAAACGAAACTGTTTCTTGTATCCAGACGTAGCTTAAGGTTTGTCTTACAAGCAAGTTATATAAGCTGAGTATCGCCATCTTGGTGGGACGTGTCAAATGTACTCTGAAATGGAGTTTTTGTTCCGCATCGCGTGCAAATTGTGCCGGTACGATATTTCATTCTTATTATAAAGCCCCGATTTTTGAGGCATATATTGATTACAAATAAGAAAGAACTTAGAATCACATGTGCAAGGTGCACCAGCAATTTTGAGTTCGGACTGGGTCAGACTTTCTTAAGTTTATGTTAGTTTACTAAAAATATATTATTAATATTTATTCTAAAATTTAATGGTATTTAGAGACCTCTCAGATCACTCTTTCCGAGGTGATCAAATGGATAGAGTTTACGTGTGCGTGTATTTTTAGGAGTGGGTGTACACGTGCGACACGGAGGCCCGTATTCGGAAAGAGTTGCTTAAAGGAAAATAAACTACTATAGAGCAACAAATGTACAACTGGTGCTAGGTAGCAGCAGCTGTTCTCCAACTGCATGACTGGCCAGAACAAGTGCCGAAATGAAACATCTAAACAAAGCTCCAGATCGATCGAATTATTATTATAATGATGAGATACACTTTCCAGCTCGAAAACGTAGCATAGTGGCACATCTTTTCTCCAAGTTTCCATTTTTGAGGAAATTTCTCCAGGATACTAGTACTGCAGAGATACCTAGGAGCAGTAGTATATCTAAAGGAGGAGCACAAGTTTTTTCTCTATTTATTATTTTAAAAAAGCAAGAAAGAAACAGCCTGTCCGTTTCGGCTGGATTGGCTTATAAGCCATGAACTGAAGTACTACTGACTGATTTGGTGTGACAAAAAAATACTATTGGATGACTGATAAGTCAAGCCACTTACAGATACAGCCGCCGAACAGGCTGAAAGGAAGAAAAAAGTGCGTGTTGGCACCTTCATGTCGCTAGCTAGTAGCTAGATATGCAGGGTGGTACGGTGCGGTACGGTAGGCCGGTAGCATGGCATTGGCGTCACCACAGAGCGCGTGTGTGGTATCCGCGTCGCGCGGGAACCCGTGGCGGGGGCACGCGGGCCGCACCCGCACCCGCACCCGCACCTCACGTGGTATCTGCGTTTGCCGCGTTGTTTACGCGTGCGCTCTGCGCTCCGTGCAAACAGATCTTCGTCAGGTCAGCGAATTCCATTCCCTTTGGCTTTATTTTGGATACACCGCAAATTTGAATTTCAGACGCCAGACTGAGGTTTGTTGTTTTACAAGCAAAGTGAAGTTTGAGTTGAGTATCGCCATCTGCTGTGGAAATTAACGAAGAGGCGCGGCGACCGTGACGGTGACGGCTGTGGCCGTGCAAAGACGACCACTCGGGGGCTCTGACGTCGTTTCCTCCCGGTGCGCGTGCGTGCACCGGCCGTCGACCCTTGTTGAGAGCACGTGGGATGCGCGCTGCAATTGTATCGTCGGAAGCACAACGGCAGGCGGCAAAAAAAAAAAAAGTTGCTTAAGCTACACGCAGCAAACGCTAGCCGCTAGTAGTCTCCACCAAATGGACTGTGTGTGAGGCTGGCTGCTGCTCCCATTTCGCAAAGGAGCATATATAAGGGCATATGCTGTTGGCTTGTGGATCATCCTATGAACGTTTCAGACTCGGATTCCTCCATCATTGAAAAGTTTGTGGATCACTCCATCCCTCCAGAAATGACATGGATATTTATACCAGAAAAGAACAAGATTTACAAATTTGGACGAGTAATTCATCAAATTATAAGCGTAGCTTCAGCGCCTTTTTTTCCTTCTCAATTTTTTTGTTTCTGTTTTACCAGAGCTAGAGCAGTTTTTTCCTCCATACTATAGTGATCTACGGTGCTTGACAATGCTCGTGTGCAAGAAGTCAGAGCTAAAGAAACGGCACCAAACAACCCCTAATGCATCATTTTCACCGATGTTTCCTGGTTATTAATTTCCGCTGATGTCAATTGAGCTCCTATCCCTCTCTAGATATTCCGACTTTATTAAAAGCCACGCACCCAGTTTTCCACCAATTAACCTCGACCACAATCCGACGGAGACCGATGGAATCAGCTGGTGCCATATCACCTGACATGGACAGCAAGCTAGGGAAGACGCAGCAAAGGTGATCGAATAGTCGGTGCTGGATCGGGCCGTTGCAGCCGCCCGGAAGTTTCTTTGTTCCTCCAGCGTCATCATCGTCCACCAGACCATCGGACTTGTGCTCACACCAGAATTTCTCGGCAGTCGGCTGGTGGATAGACTCCACCGTATGCCGCGGAAACTGATGGGCGGCCTGCCTGGACCAACTTCCAACTTCAACTCATGGCTGGCGGCCCATTAGCATTGGTTCGCATCCACTGCACGCCCCAGGTTTTGGTGGTGACCTGACCAGAGGACTGGACCTGACCGCGACGGCGAGCGGCGGGCGAGACCCAGTGCCAGTCGCCCGCCGCCGCCGCACGGGCCTATACTAGTACTCCCTTCCCGGCCCCCGCGGCAGTTGAGACTTTGAGACTTGAGACGAACCTGAACCTTGTGTGCACTCACTGCCGGTGGCCGGCCGGGAGCGAGAGCGACAGCACACAACGGAGCTTCAAAACTTTGCAGCCAATGAGTCATGGGCTACGCATAACACGAGAATCGTTCGACGAATGAGGCCCAAGATGAAAAAGGCCCAGCCCAATGCTCAGCAAGAGTAGTACATAAATGAATAAAAAAACCCAAAAGACAAAAGGTAACGCGTCGACAGCAGGGTTCGAACCTGCGCGGGCGTAGCCCAACAGATTTCAAGTCTGTCTCCTTAACCACTCGGACATATCGACCGTTGGTTCACCTCAATTTTCTATTGTTATTTGTGAGCGAATGCTCTCAGGTAACGCCGCGAACCAAAACGACCAAAACCCAAAATTGACCCACCTGAAGCTCATCCTGTTACAGAGACTAGCGAAAATGACTCTGCCAAAAATCTGAAAGGACTTCTTCCCCTTCTCCGTCAGCAGGCGTCCACCGTTCTGTATAAGCAAGTGATTTTGTAGGCAATGCGCTAGCTAGTCTGCTTGCTGATGACATTCTTCTCAGCTGCGTTTTATTGCTCACCTCTCAAAAGCGTGACTCAGCTCCAAACTGATTGTCCAACTTGAGACCAGAAAACAAAGAACGCCATATTCATTGCTTGTATTGGACCATTCCATGTCCACGTGATTCATGGCTTCATCCTATCCATATTATCCCAACCAAGAGAACCATATCCACCCATCCTGGAACACCAAACTAAGGGGACTGCACAACTGAAATGGGGAAGCTTTTCTTTTTTCAACAACGTGCTTTGCACGTGTTTCATCAAGAGATGTTAGAAACAAAGAAAACCATGGTCGAAAAGACCAAGTTCACAAAGCAGAGATACCAGTGAATACTTGTGGAATCAGATAGCAGAGAAGAACATCTGAATTGTAGTGAATACATACCTCATATACTTGATATCAACTACTAGTCATATTGATACGTTTCAAGTTCACAGAGCACCTGATAACTACTACTACTAAACAGAAATATTAGTTACTAACCTGCTACGGAAGAATCAATGATCTAGGCATCTATAAACGATACATGCTAGTAAATTACAAGAACAAGAACTACGTCAAGTTAACAGCTAGCAAGGTAGACTACAACAGTTTTCTTTTCCCAGCCCAAGTTGACTTAAGTAGTTCTAATGTGATCCCTTTTTCTTCTTGCTCTTGGCTTGTTTCGCCAAGAAAACTGACAGCCCTGTAAAGGCAAACTTCTTCCTCTTCCCTGAGAATTTCTTGTGAGCAGTTGCATCACTGCTATACACAACTGCACGCCTGCGGTTCAGAATCTGTCCAAGCGACATATTAGAAGCTTCACTTGCATCGTCCTGAACGGTTTTGTCATACCCATCTGGTCCCATTAGCTTCATGCTCAATATCTGCCCTATCGACAATGTTGGTTTCAAGGGACCCTTTGAAGCGTCAACGATATCCATATTCTGAGAATCTCTGGAACGGGGAGCTGGATGTTTGAACTTGGGAGGGTCATGGACTGAACGCCTCCTGTGTCCAGTTGTGGATCGACATCTGCGAAGAGCCTCTTCTACTGCGATCTTCCCCTGGTTAGTAGCATTCACCCTCTTCTTGGCCTCCTGTAGTGCCTTCTTACATTCTTCAACTTGCAGTTGAGCTTCTTCCAGCTTTCTGACAGAGTCAGATTCTGTCTGGTTGGCTTCATCGACCTGCACCATTTCAGCTTCGATTTTCTTTCTTGAGCATTCATCAGCCTCCTGAGCTTTGGCAGCAAGCTCAGAGTACTCTTCCAATGAAAGGCTCATGCCTTCCGTGCCCTGAAGGTCCTCAGCTGAAGCTTCATTGCTTAGTAGGATCTTGATTTCAGCGAGGGCAAGAGCTTCTGCTGCTCTTGCTGCCTCTTCTATTTTCTTGGCTGCACGACACCTCACCTCAGCAGTGCCAATGCTAGCTCTCATCTGCTCAATTTCAGCAGACAGCATAGCAGCTTCAGATTTCGACGCACTCGCCGCACTCCTGAGCTGCTCTAGCTCAGATGTCATCTTCTTGATCTCAGCGAAGATGTCTGATGGATCATCACGTCTCCTCTGCAGACCCCGCAGCGTCTGCGGCTTCTGTGCAGTCCGGTCCAGCTCATCCTCCAGAGAAGCAATCAACGTCGTATTGGCACAAACCTTCTCTCGGCTTCTCTCCGCCAAGACTCTCTCTTTGGCAATGTCGTTCCGCAGTGACTCAACAGACGCTCTGATAGCCGCAAGATCACTCGTGGTCCGGTTTAGGTTGGCTTTCGCCTGCTCAAGGCCCTTCAGCACTGAAGAACCAGTGGATTGCTGAAGCTGCACATGTAGCGTGCCCATAACCGCACCAGTTTCAGCATTCTCAGGCTGCACTTCTGCAGGTTCTCCGGTGCCAATGGGCAGCACTGAAGAACTAGGGGATTGCTGCAGCTGCACATGTAGCGCGCCCATAACCGCATCAGTTTCAGCATTCTCAGGCTGCACTTCTGCGGGCTCTTCAGTGCCAGTGGGCGCCTCGGCTTGACCCTGAACCCACTCTTCAGGGATGCAGAATGCACCGGCATCCTCATTCTGTATCTTTAGCTTTAAGTCAGCAACCACCTTCTTGGTGGACTCCAACTCTTTGAGCACATCAAGCGTCTCCCTTTCTTTGACGCTGAGCTCCTTCTCTAGTTGCGCGGTCTGCTCCTCCAGATCGGCCAGTTCTTCGGTCCCCTCCTGCTTCTGCAGCAGAAGGTAGTAGGAGAAAGAACATATCAGCGCGAAATTTTATCTACCTGCCGCATTTCCCACCCAATAAATCTAGGAACCACAGATGACACAATCGCGAGTGGTGAACCAACCAACAAAAGGCACGATACACGCCATACGCAAGAGACATTTGCGGCGGCGGCGCCGTGCGAGGAACACAGATTGGCTACCTTTGGGTTTGGGGGCGCGAACATACGCTTGATGAGGTGGGAGCTCCAGGCGGCGCTGCCGCCGAAGTGGTCGACGGCCTCGCGCACCGACTTGAAGGGCGCCGAGGTGTCGACCTCCGCCCTGGCGGCGGCGGCGGAGGCGCCGGGCGGGGCGACTCCTTGCGCCTCGGCCTCGCCGTTCATGGGGACTCGTGCGGCGAGTAAAGATGATGCCTCTCTCTTCTTTCTTGGGTTCCGTCCGTGGGGTTTTGGTGGGGGCGGGGGCGAGGAGAGGACGACCGACGACAGAGAGAGCCAAAGGAATCGAAGCCAGTGGAAGCGAGCACGGCGGGGACGCGGGGTTTGGATGGATTTTGTTTTTTTTATTTATCGCCATGGGTGACTGTTGACCGGAAGCTGGCACAGTAATTGTACAGTAATTATTTTAGCCGTTTGGGAGCCGTTGGCGCGTTGCTGCCTTTCGTCTCCAGCTCTCCTCTCCTGCGTCTGTGCACTTGCAGGCTTTTCCTTGCCTTTTGGCCTTTTTTGCTACCGACAGCAAAGGTGACATTTGAAATTGGACTTTGCGTTGTGCAAGCACCACAAGATTTTGGCAAATACTGCCTCGGTAAAAAAAGCAAAATCTTGCTCTTTCAAGTACTTCAACAGTTTAGGGTTGACTAAGGCCCTATTCGATTATCTTATAATCCGTTTTTTTCAGTTTGTTTTTTCAGCCGAAACAGTGTTTTTCTCCTACAACAAATTAGCCGGAACAGTGTTTCGGTTTGTTTTTTTCAGCGAAGCGAACGGGGCCTAAGTCCAAAAACGAGCAGACCCAGTGTCGGGCATCAGTATTAGGGATACCTGGAAGAAGAAATCTGATGGGCGCGGACGCTGACTCGTCCGGATGCTCAAGAGCGTATTTTGGTCTCGCCTAACCCAAGGGTGCGGGCTCCGTGTCGTCCGACCCCGAGGGCGCGGGCTCCATCACGCCTGACCCCGAGGGCGCGGGCTCCGTCTCGCTTGACCCCTCGGGCGATGACTTTGCCTCGCCAGACCCCATGAAGAGGGATTCTGCCTCGCCCGACAGGGTCCGTACCGCCTCCAACCACTACGGGTCTAAGAGTACGAACTTAGGGTCAAACTTCTGACACCAGAAAAGGGAGTAGGCGCGTCTTGACGTGACCCGTGGCCACGACGTGCCATACCTAAGGACTCATGTCACCAACAGTGTCGGGCATGTCGGCGCTACGCTACCTAATCCCTGTATGACTTCCAATGGGGGTATCTGCTAACCAAGCCGCCCGTCGAGACAGAATGGAGCGCCACGACCGGCTAACGACGCCCACATATAGCGCAAGTGATGAACAGGGTCGCGACGTGGAGCTATCCCCGTCATCTACAGGACCGGCGGGACCCGCGTAAAATAGATGAAGGGCACCGCGACCCCAAAGGCCTTCTTCCTCCTCGCTTTTCTCTCTTTCTCTCATGTAACCTGCGCCTTCCCCTTCAACTAAAAAAAGGGAAGCAGGACGCCCCACGAAGGGCATGGCTCAACGCTGAGCGGTTCAAGGAGTTCAACTAGACTCAACTCCATTCGATTCTTCCATCAAACACTTAGGACTTTCTCCCTCTCTCGCCCATTTGTAACCCCTACTAAAAACAAGTGTCGGTAACACGAGCAGCCTCAAACTGGACGTAGGGACATTTCATCCGAACCAGTATAAACCCTTGTGTCCTATGAGCACACCATCCGGGCCAGACATGCAAACACAAATTTACTAGTCGACAGTTCAAAACACCAACAGTTGGCGCGCCAGGTAGGGGCCTTTTGCACGTCTCGTCGTCCACAACAGGCCACTTATGGCTAGCCACTGCGTTAGCTGGGTTCCGGGCGCGCACGTGCGCTTCGGGAGCCCAGATTTTTTCATCACCGCGGAGGGAGAGCTGGCGCGGGCCCCCACCCTCGTTAAACTTCTTTTGCTCCACCGGCCTCGACGCAACCGTCGAGGCCGTCGAAGAGCTGCAGTTGCACGCCCCGTAGGCCTATGCCCTCGGAAGCAACCAGCTCCTCGGCTTCGATTATGGGAGGCTAGAGCGCCAGCTCGATGCCTTCCTAGGACCTCGACCGTCCTAGAAGGACCTACCCTGCATCACCTTCTTGTTCACCAACGTCATGACGCAACTTGCCGGAGGGGAACCGCTCTCCCTAGAATACCTCACCCGAAGCGCCCCGATAGTATTCTCGTTCGGTCTGCACAACGTCGCAAAGGACCATTGGTCACCTCACGGCACAGCGCATGCACCCGTCCCCCATGGATAACGAATTCATGGGTATGACGGACTACGTCGTGGAATCTTTCCACGACTTTCTCGTAGGAGATTCAGAGACGATCTCCGACTCTGACTCCAGCAGGGGTGGCCATCATCCCTCGCGAGAATGCTTCATGGCAGACAACCCCGAGGGATGCATCGAAAAGTCCACGAGGGAGGGGTTACTCCTATGGATGACCCCCGACGACGAGGTCGAGGGATATGTAGGAGCCCTGCCTCGCCTGCGGGTGGAGCAGCTGAGGGCACGACACAAGGAGATCGAGGATGCACGACTCCAGCTAGAGCAGGAGCGTGTGGAGCTCGAGCACAAGATCAAACGCCGTGGGGACGATGGTCGTGCACGTGCCATCGCCCGCAACGTAAACCGGAGGATCATTGAGGATGACGGAGGCCTCTCACACTTCACCCGGGCAAGCCAGAACATAGCTGCCGTGGCGGCCTTGCTCTGAGGGCTCCTAGAAGCTGCGACACCCAAAGACCATCGGGCCCATCGTGAGATCTGCATGCTGCTCGAGCGCGCGGCGGTGTAGCAGCTGGAAAGCTCGTTGTCCCAGCGACGTGAGTTCAATGCCAGTCAGCGCATGTCTTCAGGATGACATGGTCGGGACGTATCCGTCCACCAGGCACCACCGCGATCTTTGGGGGATTGCCATGGCCCAGTGCATGAGCCTCTTGGCCCCAATTGTGATGCATGTAACACCCTGGACGCCCCGTAGGCGTGGACGGGGACAATAGAGAGGAGGTTGGCCACGGCTACCACCCTCGTCGCGGCGAACGCTACGACAGCGGCGAGGATTGGAGCCCAAGCCCTGATCTGTCGGGGCCCCAGGCTTTGGGCCGCACATCCTCAACGCAGCTTTCTCACCGCGGTATCGACCACCGACCAACATCCCGAAATACTCTGGGAAAACGAACCCTGGCCTGTGGCTCGAGGATTACCGGCTTGCTTGTCAAGCCGGTGGTGCGGATAGTGATCACTTCACTATCCGCAACCTTCCCTTGTTCCTAGCCGATTCGGCATGAACATGGTTGGAGCACCTTCCACCCAATCGGATTCAAAGCTAGGCGGACCTGAAAGAGATCTTTGTGGAAAATTTCCAATGCACCTACACGTGCCCTGGGAACCCCCAGGATCTAAAGAATTGCCAACATAAGTCCAGAGAAACTCTCCACGAGTACATCCGACGCTTCTCCAGGCAATGCAATGAGTTGCCCAATGTCGTCGACGCCGATGTCATCGGAGCCTTCCTTTCTAGGACCACCTACGAGTCATTGGTCCACAAGCTAGGACGCAAGGGCCCTCAGACCACCAAGGAGCTTCTCGACATCACGAACAGCCATGCCTCAGGCGAGGAGGCGGTTGAAGCGATTTTCGACCGCCCTAAGTGCAAAGCGAAGCGGGACGAGGACGCCGGTGTGGGCACCTCCAACCGCCTGAACAAGAAGAAGAACAAACAACGACACGGGGGCTCGCTCGTGGCCACTGCCGAGTGGAAAGGTGGTCGAGCGCCCGCCGAGGGCGCTCCTAACCACTTCGAGAAGCTACTAGAGGGGCCGTGCCCGAACCACGCCTTCCCCATCAAGCACCTGTACAAGGACTGCACACTCATGAAGCATTTCCTGTCTGGTGGCTCCAAAAAGGGGGACCAGAGGAAGAAGCTTGAGCCTACGATGGATGACGCCGAGGGGAAGGATGGCGGTTTTCGACGCCAGATGGCCGCCTCATGATCTTTGGTAGGGCGGCGGCTTACGACTCCAAGCACCGCCGAAAGCTCGCACGTTGTGAGGTCTACACGGCCGAGCTAGCCATGTCATCTTTCCTCCGATGGTCAGAGTCCGCCATCACCTTTGACCGATTCGACCACCCAGAGAGCGTCCTGTAGCCGGGAAGGTACCTGCTCATGGTCGACCCGATCGTCCGCACGAAGCAGCTCACCAAGGTGCTGATGGATGGAGGCAGCGGCCTCAACATCATGTACGCCAAGATGCTTGATGCCATGGGCATCGACCGAGGCGCCTTTCCACGGCGTCGTGCTGGGAAAACAATTCGTACCGCTTGGGCAGATTGACCTGCCCGTCACCTTCGGGGATTTGACCAACTATAGGATGAAGACCCTCACCTTCAAGGTGGTCGGGTTCCATGGAACCTACCACGCCATCCTGGGACAACCGTGCTACGCGAAGTTCATGGCCGTCCCCAACTACACTTACCTGAAGCTCAAGATGCCAGGCCTACATGGGGTCATCACCATCGACACCTCCTTCCAGCGCGCTTACGAGTATGAGGTTGACTGCTGTGTGCACGCCTTGGCAATTGTCGCCTACGAGGAGCTCACGATCATCAAGGAGGGGACCACCGAGGAAGCACCTGACCCTAAGCGGTCGGCCGAATATTTTGAGCCCACGGAGGGTGTCAAGGAGGTCCTCATTGACCCTAGCAGCTTCGAGGACAAAGTGGTGCGCATCGGCACCACACTTTCCTCCAAATAGGAAAGAGCGCTCGTCGACTTCCTCCGCGCCAACAGAGATATCTTCGCGTGAAAACCCTCGGACATGCCAGGCATTCCGAGGGAAGTCATTGAGCACGCCTTGAAGATCAAGCCCGGCTCCAAGCCAGTAAAGCAGCGCCTGCGTCGCTTCAACGAGGAGAAGCGCAGGGCTATCAGCGAGGAGATCACGAATCTTTTGGCAGCCGGATTCATTAAGGAAGTGTATCAACTCGAGTGGTTAGCCAATCCCGTCCTCATACGAAAAAAGAATGGGAAATGGAGAATATGTGTTGACTACATGAGTCTTAACAAGGCATGTCCAAAGGATCCATTTCCTTTGCCATGTATAGATCAAGTAGTTGACTCGCCCTCGGGGTGCGA